AGAGAGAGAGAGAGAGAGAGAGAGAGAGAGAGAGAGAGAGAGCAAGAAAGCGAAAAGTAGAGGAAATGTGGATACGAAAGAATCACTGTTGAAGACAAAAAGTTGTTTCATGGATGACGACTAGCAGTAAGTATATATGCGTACCCATGGGGACACCCATGGGACATCATGTTAAATAAACTGACACTCAAAAAGTAAACAGACTGACAGTTCGAAGGCGAGCGAAAATCACAAATCTCAGGAGATGCTCTTGTAATGAGTTTAGGTTTAGATTCTAACGAATTTTGAGAGAATATATTTTGACGAAATATTCATCACCGGCGAATATTTCAAATATGTGGACGTGCACCTCGTCACGACGATCGGCAAGTATTTGACAAGCTGCAGCGTTTATTCTTTTCGCGCACTTTACCATCAAGAAGATAACAGTATTTGTACAACGAGTTAATGCACTCACTAGGCGTAGCTAGCGCCGTACAAACACAATTGAATGAAATTCATTTCATCGTTCTCAACGTATCGATTGTCAACGTCGATAATATATTCGAGGAATCGCGGGATTGTGTATATACTTGGTTTCTATTAGGCCGAAAAACCGCTACGAGTACTACCTGATGATTTCCAGTTTTCCTGGAACCTTATACTAAAAAAGAAGAGGAGGGGGGGGGGAGTAATTTCTTGATACGTGCTGTACGACGATAGTATATCTCGTCGCATCGCGCGAACGCTACGCGCGCGCCGCATTCACAGAATATTATGAACGCGTGCATAAGCATTATTTGCCTTCTTCTCCCGTGGATGTCTCTCACGAAACGTGCGAGCGCGTGCGCACGTAATACGCGCAGAAATATAGTATAGGTATAGCGCGCGCGCGCGCGCGCGCGCGTGTGTGTGTGCGTGCATGTGTGTGTGTGTGTGTGTGTGTATGCAAACACGCGCGATATATTCGCGCAGAAAGAGAGAGGGAAAGAGACAGAAGCGGTTAACGTTTATATAACATTTTGCAAAAAAGTGATCCGATCGATAAAAACCTACCCCCTCTCCGTCAGGAGCGTATTATTTTTCAGAATAGTTCAATTTACCATTTTTCTCTTTCGTTCTCTCTCTCTCTCTCTCTCTCTCTCTCTCTGTCTTTCTCTCGCTCTCTTTTTTTTAATAAACGACGGGGATATTTTATCACTTTTTTGTTTGCTTGTTTTACCAGGTTCCACGTTGGATAGGAGGAGTAGACGATCGATAGAATGTGCGCGAATGGCGGACAGGAATTTTCGGAGGCACGCAATAATGCAATGCGATTGAACGTTTTATTATCCTGAAAATAGAGTCGTCGTCGCTCGTGCAACGCGACGCGCGGTGCAGAAAGATTATCATAATTGTCATGAAGGTATAATACAACAGATACGTTATTGCTCATTATATCCGATTCGCGATAGATGGCCAAACAATTTTTTATAACACGGTTAATTAGTAATAATTAATAACAGCAAAAGGAAAAGATACAAAAGATCGTTAAGAATAACAACATATTTCATCATCACTGAAAATTCCATTCTCGCCTCTGTGTACATACGTAATAAAAAAAATCTAAGAAAAGACAACAGACCACTTTTACGAGCCTATATAAATCAGTATTA